AGGGGGCACAGGGTCATCTTGGCCTCCTTGCTATAGTAGACACCCAGGTCATAAGCAGAGTTCTGGGCTCACAGTGGGTCACCTGTTGTCATTTACTGGGTTCTTGAAGGTATAAATAGTGGGAAATGTATACATGCAGTTGGATGAATCTGTTCTTTGTTTTCATGGAGGGAAAGGCCAGTCAAAGCCTCTGGAAGTGACCCCCACACCCACCAAGAGAGTTAACCCAAACCAGTCTCCAACCCTGGAGGGAGTAGCAGAGATGAGAACCACTTTGAAGACCTAGAGGGTGTAGAAGGTGGTCCCCACCATTGGCATCTGAGTCACCAGCCTGCAGCCTGCAGGACCTGGACGCGTTCTACAGGGTGACCCTGAGCCCCCATGAACACAAGCAAGTAGAAATCTGAACCACAGCCTCCTTTCTAGATCTGCTGTCTTTGCAAAGCAGGATAATGTGTCCTGTCCCTCCAGGACATGACATTCAGCCGTCGATCTGGCAAATGTCCTTTTCCACCCCACCAGAAATGGTTTGCATTCCTGTGGGAGGAACAACAGTGTTCACTCAGTCTCACCCCAGGGCTGTGTTAACTCTCTTGTCCTCTGTCATAATGTAGCTCAAAGGACGGAACCATCTGGATACACTTCATACTGTCACACGGGCCCACTGTATCAGTGACATCATGCTAATCTGATTTGAAGGAACAAAAAGTGGCAAGTATGTTGGAGGCCTCGTTAAGGTGCGTGAGCTCTGCAGGACTGAGGAGCCCCCCACACCAGCTTCTGTTTAGGAGCTGGGTGATCTACAGCGTGCTGGGACACCGTCTGTGAAGGAAAGAACAGATTACTGCATTCTGCACCTGCCACCACCAAGAAGGAAGAAATAGAATCCTTGGAGGCCTGTTGGGGTTCTGAAGCTCACCTATCCCACATGTGAGCCTCCTGAGTGACACACATGTACTAAGTGACACAGAAGGCTGCCATCTTTGATTGGGTCCCAGAGCAGGAAAAGACCTGTGGAAATGCTAAGTATGGTACAAACAGCCCTTGGGACATACACGTGGGCAGATCTTATGCCTGTGTTATTAGAGGTGTTTATGGCGGGAAAGATGCTATGTGGAGTTTATGCTAAAGCCCAGTAGGATCATCACAGTGTAGACACTAAGGTTCTGGAGCAAGGCCCTGCCATCTACAGAGGAGAGTCGAATACCACGTATGCAACAGCTCCTGGCTTGCTGCTGGGCTCTGGTGGAGGCAGACGGCCTGACTGGGGACATTAGCTGACCCCACAGCCAGAACTGACCAACAGGAGCTGGATTCTCTCTGACCCATGACATCATAAGGTCATGCTTACCCAGCAGCAATCCACCAGAACAGAGAAATGGTCTATCTAGATCAGGAACAGTCACAGCCAAAAGTACGCTGCAGGAGCAGGATTCTGCTGCACTTAACCTGAGAACTCTCACAAGGGAAAGATTTGTGGGACAAAGTAGAGCCCCACCTCTGATTCTGGCCCCAAAGGCGGAGATGAGAGGAAATCTTCCTAAAGAGTAGAGCTTCAGAGAAGCTGTTCCCAAACTGGGGGGACTTACTGTCTGCCGCAGGTGGATCTGGGCTGCTCCAGGGCCATGGTGGATGCTATGGTGGGTTGCTCACATCCCATTCGGGACAGAGGCACTTGCTCCTCCAGCTGCTGGAAGTGTTGCATGCTCTGCCCATAACCACGTCTCTCTCTAGAAATTGCCCTCTGCCAAAGGAAGCTGCCTCACCCAAGATCATCCATCCTCCCCAGGGCTTCATCTCTTGGCTGGAAATTGTGGGAGAATAGACGTGGTCTCCATGCCTCAGCTTGGGACATCTCCAAGTGACTGACTCTCAGAGCTCCCCATGGTGGTGGCTGAGGCCTCTGTTAAGCTTCTCCCTACACCTGGTTCTGTGTCTGGCTTCACCACGTGTGCTGCTGCAGGTAAATTTCAGAGTCTATTTCCCAGAGAACTTGACCTAAGATACCAGAGAAAGGGCATTGAGTTTTGTGTGTTTATATCTAGTCATTGCACAAAATTGCAAATTCTAATATTTTTTGTAGTGTCTTGAGTGTTTTAAGTGTATGATATTATCCTCCAATAAAGATAATTTTGCCTCTTTGTTTCCACAGATAAGCTGCATATTTTAATTTCTTGACTTGTTTCATTAGGTAGAATTGCCAAACAAATTGTCAGTAATAGCTGTAATAGTGAGAATTCTCATCTCCTTTCCTGATTTGAATAGGTGCAGATTTTTGAAGTGGTCTTTATCATATCTAGGTAATTTTCTTCTTGTCTTACACGGGCTTTTTTTTTTTTTTGAATGAATGGCCATTCAGTTGTATGAAATGCCTTTTAGGTATCTCTCGACAAAAACGCTTTGGGTTTTTCTCCTTTATTTGTTGGTGTAACAAATTGTTGATAGATTTCATAAAGCCCAGCTGTTCTTGCTTTTGTAATAAATGCTACTAGTTCATGTTTTTGATTATCCTCTACATTGAATTGTATTCAACATGCCAATATTTTAAAATTTCTTGCTACTTTCTTTGCCTCACTCTTCTAGTGAGGTTTTAGCATTAATATAATGCTGACTTTTAAAAAATGAATTTTGGAGTTTTCTGTATTTTTTTAATAGATCAGAGTTATTTCAATAGCAAGGGAATTCCCTGACTTTTGAAGGTTAAATAGAACTCATCTTTATTTTTATTTATTTATTTATTTTAAAGATTTTATTTATTTATTTGACAGAGAGAGACACAGCGAGAGAGGGAACACAAGCAGGGGGAATGGGAAAGGGAGAAGCAGGCTTCCCACAGAGCAGGGAGCCCGATGCGGGGCTCGAGCCCAGGACCCTGGGATCATGACCTGAGCCGAAGGCAGTCGCTTAACAACAGCCACCCTGGTGCCCCGGAACTCATCTTTAAAAATACCAGGGTCTTATGCCTTTTAAGATGGTAGAAATTTAATAATCTTTCCAGCTTATTCTATAGTTTTCCTGTTAGTCACTTCCTTCTTCATTGGCATGGTCTTTTCAGTTTTGGCAAAACCCTCAAGTCTAACACCTCCAGATATGTTCAAACTCATCAACCCACTGGATAATGGATGGATGGGATGTCCACTCTTGCCCAAGGATGTGTATGGGTGTGTAGATGCTGAATTTCTTAAGTGGGCTTCCTTTAGTTGAATTGGGGGTCTCAATAGTAGCAGGAACTCCAAGTGAATTATCCGAGAAAAGGGTTGCTGTCACAGACCCATGGGTGGTCTTCAGTGTGTGCTTTGAAGGGACTACAAACTGAAGGTGCCACTCATAGGAGATTTATTACGAATGGCAGCAAGCATAAGAAAGGATGTTCAAGCTCATGATAAGGAGAACCCAAGTTTACAATCAATGAGATGCTGTTTTCCATGCAAGACTGATGGAATTTTAAAACAATGGATATTTCTCAGTTTTGGAGAAGGTGTCTGTGACATGGATATGAAAGTGAATTTGTGCAACATGTTTAGAGACCAGTTTGGCAAATTTTGTCAACACTTAGCATGTGCATCAACCTATGATGTAGTAATTCCTCTTGTAAGGATTTCCTTTATAAGAAATACCTGCACAAGTGCACATATGCATAAGGATATTCACTCGACAGTATTTGAAATAGTAAATATTGAAGAATTAAACATCCATTCAAAGAGGAATCGTTAAGCAATGGTGGAATCATCATTATTATGGAGCGTTATGAAGTTATTAAGCAGAATAAAATAGATCTGAATGTGCAGGCAGGGAATAACATCCATGATGTATTGTTGAATACAAGAATCAACCTACAAGATGGTATGTATAGTAGGAAGTATTTGTGTAAATTGTGTGTGTGTGTGTGTGTGTGTGTGTTTAGGCGCTTAGCAAAATGTCTAGAAATGTGGTTACCCCTGATAGTGTGGCAGGGTGGTGTGGGGGGAATGAGAAGGACACTTTTTACTTAATTTATATCTATACTGCTTGACTTAAAAAAAAGGCATGTATTACTTTGGCAATAAAACAAAAAGGTTTTTTAGTGCTTGCAACAAAAATGCTGATGTAATTTTAAACCAGTTGGCAATTTCTTTTAGAAGGAGCAATGCTAGAGTTTCTTCACTGGGAATTGGACCAAACGTGACTTAGTCTTTAAGGGAACTAGACAAGGCATTAATTCTATTAATTAATGCATCAGCAGATTCCATCTCAGCAAAGTCTGTCTTAATGAGGTGCTGGGGCATCCATTATTTATCTTACAAATATCAACCCAGGGCCCTACTTGTGTCAGGCAGTATAACAGATGTCCCCTCTGAGGGTGCGGTGCTGGAGAGAAGCGCAAATAGCTCACAGACTGCTCCCTCCTCCCCGCGCCCACCGCCATCTCTCCGCAGATGACCTCCGCCTTCCCGTTGACCCCAACTCCTCCACTCTCTGTCTTTTCTCCCCAACGCCTCGCACTCCAGAGCCCCGCAAAATAATCATTCCAGCCTGGGCTGCAACCTCACTCCCGCCCAGCACCGTGGGCCTCCTGGACACGTCCCTCCTGGACCTCTCAGTCTCCTTTCCTTCAGGCTCATGGGGGACAGGGGACAGAGGCAACCTAGGAGAAGTTACACGGGTCGCTCCTGCTACTGTTAATGGCAGAGTCGGCTCTCCATACGCCGACCTAGCCGCACTCCCGTTCCCATTCCGCGCCTCCATGGGTGCATCCCTTCCCCAGCTCACACCCCGCGTGGTCCCCCGCGGCCGGCGGCCTGGCCCGGCCCGCCCTCCGGGAGCTGTCCGCGGTGCTGACCGCAGGCGCCGCCCGCCCTCGGCCGCTGCGCACGCGTCCCGGGCGGGGCGCGCAGGACCCGCCGGCGCCGCCACTGCGCAGCCTCCCGCGCGGCCCTGCCCGGCCCGCGCCCAGCGCCCCGCGCCGCCTGCCGGGCCCCGCGGCCTCCGCCCGCCGCTTCCTCGGCGCGTCCGGGCCAGCCATGGCGCTCAACAATTTCCTCTTCGCGCAGTGCGTCTGCTACTTCCTGGCCTTCCTCTTCAGCTTCGTGGTGGTGGTGCCGCTGTCCGAGAACGGCCACGACTTCCGCGGCCGCTGCCTGCTCTTCACCGAGGGCATGTGGCTGAGCGCCAACCTGACGGTGCAGGAGCGCGAGCGCTTCACGGTGCAGGAGTGGGGCCCGCCGGCCGCCTGCCGCTTCAGCCTGCTCGCCAGCCTCCTCTCGCTGCTGCTCGCCGCCGCGCACGCCTGGCGCACGCTCTTCTTCCTCTGCAAGGGACACGAGGGGTAAGTGGGGGCCTGGCGGCCGCCCTGCCCCATCAGACGCAGCCCTCAGGCCGGGCACGGAGTCCCTTCCGAGCCCGCAGCGCCCCCAGGCCGTCCTCCCCCAGGGAGGAGCATGAGTCCCACCCTCTTCCCGGCGTGGGTGGGGAGCTCAGAGGCCCAAAAATATCAGCCCTTGGTGCTCACTGCCTCCATGCAAACTGCCCTTTGTCTACGCAGAACCCGCGGACCATGAGGGTCTCCCGCGCTCTGTACAAGGCCAGTACTTTCCATCCCAAGTGCGCATCACCTCCCGCTTTGGGCATTTACCACCCCCGCCCTTGGGATGCAAATATTGCATTGTCATCTCTGAGCGGACCTGGGCCCTCCCTGGCTTGCTGGCTCAGGCTCAGGCATGGGTGCCGCGGACAGCCCCTAGCGGGTCTGCGCCCCCGCACTCCTCCAGGTGCAGGGGAGCGATCAGGCCAGGCAGGTGGCTGACAAGGCAAATCGGGGAGTCCTCTCCTCATCCCCACTCCCATCTTCCTGGGAAGGATGATGATGGTGGGGCAAAGGCCAGAGGGAAGCTCTCTAGGCCCATGGGCTTGGCTGGGAATGCAAGACAGGGAGCAGCATGTGCAGGAGGCTTCCCTGCCTCCTGGTCTCTGTGTTCCTCTTCACCTTTCCCCACTCTGGCACAATTCTGTGAGAGAGGGGTGTGCTTCACCCGGGGTCCTCAGCTTGTAGCCTGCCATGCGCCTTTATCCCTGGGACCTTCTGTGGACCCACCCACACCCGCTCCTGGCCCTTGCTGGCCTCACATCCACAGGGGAAATCCCGCCTTCTCCCAAACCCTGCCCCACACCCATGCCCCCATCCATTATTTGTTGGTATTTTTTAGGGGGCTTTTCTCTTCTTTTGGGGACCTGAGAGATAAGCTATTGCTCTGCGGTTTCAGTGGGTTGGAGGGTCAGATGGGCACTCCTGAGAGCCCTCAGCTTGGCCTGGGCGTGGACAGAGGGGATTAACAGGGGTGGCAGGGTGAAGAGTACCGGAACAGCCCAGCGTGGGGACTGAAACCCCCAGAGGGGGTGAAGTCCAGCAACGCACGTGTATGAGTTTCCGGGGCTTCTCTCACAAAGCGCCACAAACAATTTATTCTGCCACAGTCCTGGAGGCCAGAAGTTGGAGATGAAGGTGTTGGCAGGGTGGGTTCCCTTGGGAGGGAGAATCCTTTCTAGGCTTGCTCCTGGTAGCTGCCTACAACCCTTGACATTCCTTGGCTTGGGACTTTGTCACTCTTATCACAGTCTCTGTCTTCACGCGGCCTCTCCCCTCTCCATTTCTTCCCCTCTTCTTATAAAGACACCAGTCATTGGATTTAGGGCCCACCCTAAATTCAGGATGACCTCATCCTGAGATCTTCAGCTGAATGACACCTGCAAAGACCCCATCCCCAGTTAAGGTCACATGCACCTGTCCTGGGGTGCAGCCTCAGACACGTGTTGTCGTGGGCACAGTTCGGCACACTGCACCAAGGTTCTGGATTGAGGGTCTGCAAGAAGGCACGTGTCAGCCTGGGGGGCCTCCAGGTGCTGTGGGGCTGGGGCTCAGCCTAGGGTGAGCCCAGGCTGGTCGGGGGGCCATCCTGCCCTGCCACAGGCCTCCTCCTTCCCACAACAATGGCTGGTGTCCCCAGGAGGTGTTTGAGATGTCATCACATTGCATGCACATTGTCAAGTCTGGTCAGTGTCTCTGTGCAGATTGGGGCAGGGAAGCATCTCCAAATGTGAGACGAGGTCTGAGGAAAGGGACGGACAGTCAGCAGCATAGTGTAGCTGAGGTCCCTTCGGTCTGGGAAGCTGAGGGCAGTGGCACAGGCCGTGCGGGGGCCATGGTGTGGCCATCAGCTCAGGCCCATCACTCCACCTTGTCCCTATAGGACAAGTCTCCTCAAGAGACCACATCTTACAGCCTTAAGATGAGAGGACAGAAACCACTGTTACTGAGCTCCCCAGATTTGCTGCCCAATTTGTGCGAAATGACCAGGACTCCTTTCTTGAAGGCTCTGGGCCTCTCAGCTCTCGCTGCTCCGCTCCCAGTCTCTAGGGGTCTCTTGGGGCTCCAGGATCCTGCATCACTGAGCCATGGAGGCCGGGCCCTACCCAGAGAGCTACCCAGAGAGCTGCTTCCACGTCCTGAACACCCCGAGGCCAGTTGTCTTATAGGGACAAGATGCACTAGGCAGCCAGCCAGCTGTGCCATCTGTCCAGGTGCCGACCCTTCATCTTGGTCTGGTGGTAGGACTGGGCCAGAGCTCCCCTGGATATCTGGGGTGGCCCACCATCTGAGGGGACCCTGGGCTGGATGAACCCAAGGCGGGCGTGCACCTCATTTCTCTCTGCGTGCTCAGGGCTGAGCTTGGGAGTCACAAATTAGTGTTTGTTGAATGAAGACAGAAAAGTGCCTGCATGTGAGGTCTGCTGCCTCACAGCCCACCCCCGCCGACCGCCGTCCCCCGCCCCAGCCCAGAGGTCTGCAGGTCCACAGTCTGGCCGAGGGGTCAACCCTGCAGGCTGGCTGTGTCAGCAAGTCCTGAGCCCCCACAAAGGTTGGGCCTGCCTTCTGCAGCTGCAGGCAAGAGGGGAACCCGGAGAAGCCAATCCCAGCTCAGCTGCTGGGCAGGCCTCGTGGAGCAGGCAGGCAAGTGCTGGGTCAGAGAGGACTCTGGACAGACAGGAGGCTCAGAAGGACTGTTAGAGCGAGCTTGAGGGATGGCGAGGGCCCTCAGGGTGTCCAGCCCGTCAGGGACATCAGTGCTGCTGTCCGACTTGGAGTTCTAGAGGGCCCTACCCACTAATTCTCCTGAGTCCGGCTGCAGAGACCAGCCAGGAGCCCGGCCAAGAGCGAGGGCAGAGCCCGACCCTTTGGTCTGTGCGACGGGCTCATGGCTGGGTCCCCAGCGCCTGGGTCAGACCTTGTCTGTGGTTCTAGCTCCCTCCAGGGTGTGTCCATGGGCAGAGCGGGGCCCCGGACAGCTTGTGCCCAGGCGTGGACAGGGCAAAAGGAATGGCTGTGTGACTCTGGCACCTGTGGCTTCCTGGGGTGCTTCCGGCTGGGGGCGCATGGGCGACCTGAGGGTGGGTCACAGGCCTGAGTGTGCGGAGCCCTTGGAGTGTGCAGGTGGTCGCGGTTTGCCGTTGATAGGTTTGTGATTGACGTCTGCGCAGCGCCGGGTCAAAACAACCCATCTGTCTGCCCACACGTGTCCCCTAGCCTACAAATCGCTCCCAGGGCTTCCCGGGATAGCGGTCACCATGGAGACGGCACATCCAGGCCGGCACCCTGAGAGGCAGCGAGAAGGATGGAGTTAACCCTGTGTGTGCCGGCCATCCTGGTTGTTTGGTCGCTGCCCTGTGGGTCCTTGGGGAGTGGGGAGGGGGTGGCATTGGGGACTCTGGGGGCCGGGCCCAGTGAGGCTCTGGACACTCCCAATTCTTCAAAACTCTGTGAAGCTCAGGCAGGTTCCACGGACCAGAAATGGACTTGGGGAGTAGGAGGAGGTGTTGGGGGGGATGGGATGGGGATGCCATGTTCCTGTCATGGGAGGAGAACCCCAAATCGTGCCTGTGTAATAGGGATGCGGCTGGAGTCTGCACAGTCGGGTTTTCTGGCTATGGGAGGTTGTGTTGCAAACCCCGCTGAGGGCGGGAGGGGCAGGTGTCAGGATGGGGGTGGGGGTGTGTGTCTCAGGGGGTTCCCCGGGGGGGCTTCTGGCCACACAGGGAACAGCAAGCCGCTGGTGTGCCTCTCTAGAATTAAGTACAGAATGTGGGGCATGCCGCCTGCTCCCATGAGAGGGGGCAGGAGTTGAGGTTGGTGGTTGCCCGGTCAGCATGTCCTCTGCACCCTGGCCATCCTTCCTCCCTCTAGGAGGGCCTCCTGGGGGCAGCGGCTGCTCGTCCAGGATGCTGGGCACCTGCTGGGCAGGGTGCCTGGTGGGACAGTGGAAGGCTGTGGGCAGGTGGAGGGCACCCAGGGAGCCGCTGTCCCCGTGATCTGGCCTTCTGTGCTGAGGGCAGGCAGCTTCTTTGCTTTGCCTGTGGAAGCTCCGTCCTGGTCCTCCTGGGACCACCCCACTCTCCTCGGCTGGAGTTGGGGGGCATCCAAAGTTGGTGTGTAGGCTCTAGGTAAACTCTGCTTTCCTTAGAGCATTAGCTCCAGGGAGTGGACTCCCCTGAACACTGTCTAGCCCCACGCTGACTGCAGGGGGCACAGCTGCCCCCAGGCCCAGTCTCCAGGTATCTGGTTGCTGACCCTGCCCCCACGCTTCCTGCCCCCACCCACACTTCCATGTCCTGTGGCCACAGGCCCAGCCCCACGCATGCATGCAGCTCCAGGTCCGGCAGGTCAGGGTTCCAGCGATGGGTGGAGGCCTGTCCTGGGGAGGGAGCCACACCCCTGCAGTTATCACTGTCTGTCCGTTGCCCGCATAAGCTCCCGTAGTTTCCACAATGACCCTGTGGGGGGGGGGCTCCTGTTCCCCAATTAACAGAGGGAGAAATTGAGGCCCAGAGGGCAACTTGCTGCAGGTCACGCAGCTGGGAAAGAGGCGGGCCGGATTTGACAGCCTGCTCGGTCTGGTGACAACTTCGGAGGTGGGGTGGGCCATCACGTACCCCTCTTTATGACTCTAGGCCGCGACCTCTTATTCAGAGTGCCCAGGGCCAGGTGGATTTTGCCATCAGGGTCCCCGCTGGAAACGGGTGGCTCACCCAAGTGAGGATATAACCCGACGAGGGTGTTGGCAGAGACGAGGATGTGGGCCAGGTTTGGGCCCTGCAGTGGCCCTGTCACCTCCTCTGGTCACGGGGACCACGTAGGGGAGGCTTGGGTGGAAGCGGCCGCCTGGAGGGGCTGCTGACCTTTGGTAGAGGGACAGCTGACCGGGGGCATCCCCAGCAGGGGCCTGGAAGGAGAATTCCCACTGCCGGTCCCCTGCCGGGTCCACACCGGTTGAGCCCAGTCAGGAGCCCAGGAGAGGGGTCACCACCATGGTCTCCTTGGGCCGGCCCCTCGGACGGAGGATGGAGGAGCCCCTAGTGGGGCCATGTCTGTGCGGACCCGGACCGAGCTCCGTCCTTGTGGCCCTGCCTCCTTTGCTGCACCCCGGTCACAGCTGGGCCTTTTCGGCTTCCGTGGAGAGATGCGAGCGGGGTCACCCCTCAAGCTCCTGATGCAGGTCCAGGCCAGTGGTGTTGATGGCCGTGAGGGCACAGGGTCTCAGGGCAGCCGAGTGGGGGAATGGCCCGGGAAGAGCGCCGATGCGCTGCAAGCCAGCATCCCTGGGGTCAGATCTCGGCCCTGCCTCCCCTCTGTAAGGCCGTGCTAACAAGCGCTCTCCCTCCAGGCCTCTGGGAGGCCGGGATGGGACTTCGGGGCGAGGGGCAGTGAGGGAGGCGAAAGTGGCCCTGGCGGCCCTGCATGGCCCCCTTGCCCCAGCCAGGCCCAGCCCCCGCTGTCTCCTGGCACCGCCGGGGTGTTGGTGGTGACGCACGGTGACTGTCCTCTTTTGTCCTTTGCTGAAGCTCCTTCCTCTACGCCTTTCTGAACCTCCTGGTCAGCGCCTCCGTGGTCTTCCTCGTCTTCATTGCCAGCACCATCGTGAGCGTGGGCTTCACCATGTGGTGTGACGCCATCACCGAGAAGGGCACTGTGCCCCACAGGTGGGCCAGGGCCCCGCCCCTCCCTGCTGCCCCCAGGTGACGTCCTGGGCATGAATCCCATTCCGAGCCCAGCCCGAGGTTTTGCTCGTCCTGCCTGGGGCTCCCACCTGTGCACACCTGGCCAGCGCCTTCCCCTGGACCTGCCCCCTTGACGTCAGCGCCCCCTTCACATGGGAGTAGGGCCCCTGCACCGCCGGAGGGGGGGGTGGATCCGGGCTGGGGGATGGAGGCCCAGTGCGCTCCGGGTCCTGGAGGCCTGATATGACCGCAGGGCAAGGCCCAGGAGATCCCACCCTGTGCTGCTTTGGAGGTGGGCTGCAGAGTACTGAGCTGAGTCTGCTCCTGGAGGGTTCGGAAGGCGGCTATAGGGATGGGGAGGGATGGGGAGGAGCGCGAGCAGAAGCTTTTGGTGGGGGGGGGTCAGGGGTGAGGCCTTTGGGGCCCGGAGAGCTGCCTCACTGTTTGGGGGTGCTGCATGTCTCTCCCTGTGCTCCGTGTCCCAGTGTCACCTGCCACCCTGTGTCTTGCTGTTTCAGCTGTGAAGAGCTCCAGGACATCAATTTGGAGCTGAGCGTGGACAACTCTGCCTTCTATGACCAGTTTGCCATCGCCCAGGTAGGCAGAGGGGCTAGATAGGCGGGGCTGTTCTGGTAGGAGGGGCGCTGCCAGGTAGGTGGGTCTGCCCAGGTAGGCGTGGTCGTTCTGGTGGGAGGGGCTTCCAGCAGGCAGGGCTGCCCAGGTAGGCGTGGTCGTTCTGGTGGGAGGGGCTGCCCAGGTAGGCGTGGTCTTTTGGTGGGAGGGGCTGCCAGCAGGCGGGGCTGCCCAGGTAGGCGTGGTCGTCCTGGTGGGAGGGGCTGCCAGGTAGGAGGTGCTGCCCCTGTAGGCAGGGCTGTTCTGGTAGGAAGGGAGCTGTCCAGGTAGGAGGGCTCTTCTGGTGGGAGGGGCTGCCAGGTAGACGGGGAAGCATGCATTGTTGGGGAGGGGTCCATTCACTGCTGAACGTTCACTGAGTGCACAGCCTGCCTCCCAAAGCCCTCATCCAGGGGAGGCTGAGGATGGTGCCAGGCAGAGGAGATACAGCTGAGTGAGTGGGGTATTCCTGGGTTTCAGTGACTTAGTGGGGGCTCTTGCAGGTGGATGTGGAGAGAGGTGAGGTATGGGGCATTCTAGGAGGAGGGGCCAGGTGAGCTAACTGCAGACGTGAGGTCCAGGGGCTGAGGGAGTGGCTCTGTGCCAGGTGGAAAGGACACTAGGCATCTGATCCTGGGTCTGCAGCCAAGGCAGGGAGCTTGGACTCTTGGCACCAAGTGGGCACGCTCTGGTAAATGCTGGAGGGCTCGCGGTTATTCCCTGGCCAGGGGAAGCTGATGCGGTGTCTGAGGAAGGGTGTGGGGAGATCCAGCCTGTGAATTTGGAGGAGCCCACCCCCAACGGCTTTGGGGGGACAGCTCCTCCCTGCCCTGCCCTTGTGTGAGCTTCATCCCCTGCCCTCCAGGTACATCTCTGGGGACCCCGTCAGCTGGGATGCAGCTGTGTCAGGATTTGTTAGTGGTCAGTAAGGGCTGTTTCCCAAAATCTGCATCTGTGTCCAGGCAGATGTCACTGGTGAGGGGTGCCCAGGTGGGGCGGGCTCCTTCCAGCACTGAGCAGGGCTTGCTGGCATCCAGGTCCGTTTCTGGACCCCAGACCCTCCTCTCAGGGCTCACGTTGGCCAGTGACCAGTCTCTGATGGAGAGGAGCCCCCTAGGGGGCTGGACATCCGGTGGGTCTGAAGGTTCTTTGCTGAGATGAGCTGAAACTGCTAGAGACACCTTCATGAAAATTCAGTGGAAAATGCTTCAGCCCTAATTTGTGCCAATTAGATTAGAAAGGTGTGAGCTGAGTCTGGTGATAAATAACCTCCAATGAGAATTTGTTTAATGTGGCTCGGGCCTGGTTCTGATTAAATTGTTTCTCCTTCAGCTGTTTGGTAACGGCAGCTAAAGGTCAGTTTGTTCCAGTGGCTGGAGGAGGCTGTGTTATAGATGGGCTCTCCATGGAGCCGGGCGGGCCTGGCTGCCTGGGGGTGAGGGTGGTCAGAGTCCCTGAAAGCATTGCCCAACTTGGGGTTCAGAGGCCTGGCCGCCACATACCAGGAGGGATGGTTGTGTGAAGAAGGAGGCGAGGCGGGCCCCATGGTGGGCCCCGTGGCAAGCCCCGTGGCAAGTGCCTGACCGGTCCCCAACGTGGGTCCCACCTTTCCCAGGGGCAGGTGGGTGGGTGCACCGGGCAGTGGACGGTGGGCCTGGCTGGCCTCCTGACCTCGCCTCTGCCCTCTGTGTAGTTTGGCCTCTGGGCCTCGTGGCTGGCCTGGCTGGCCATCACCATCCTGGCTTTCCTGAAAGTCTACCACAACTACCGCCAGGAGGACCTGCTGGACAACCTGGTCCACGAGAAGGAGCTGCTCCTGGCCAGGCCGACCCCCCGTGCCTCCTTCCAGGAGGAGAAGAGCGCTGTCATCTAGGATGCTCCCCACCCCGCCCAGGGCTCATGGCCCGACCCAGGGGAGGAGCTGGGGACTCTGCCCGGCCCCACTTGCCCCTCGCCTTGCATGTTTCCCTTCGGCACTGTGTGACGTGAGTGACCCCGCTCACCCAAGCACCCCATTCCCACCTTGAGTGTGGCAGTTGACTAGGGTGGGCACCAGCCCTCAGACAGGGACACACAGAGACCGCGGGACCCCCTCCGGGCCTCATGCACATGCAGCACGCCTGTCCCGGGGGCACTGGCTGGGCGAGCCTGGGAGGGGGGCGTCCACCCTCTTGGATGCCTCTGGCCATAGGGCTTGCAGGTCGTGCCTCAGCTGGACGCTGTCTCCATCTGCTTGCCCAGGTGTGATTCTGTGCCCGATCCTGTGGCAGCAGCCCATGTCCCCAGAGTGACCCCAACCCACGATGGCCACTCGTCATTCTTGTCCCTTGCTCCTGAGCAGTGTGTGGGGCTTGGGAGCAGGGGGCAGAAAGGAGCTGCCCTGCCCTGTGTGGCCCGCCTTCTGGCCCCGCGCTTCCCCAACCCCCACCACAGGGCTGAGTTCCCTGTGCTTGGGCACTGTGGCCCCCGGTGGCCAGATGGGTCTCAGCATCCAAAGCACAGGGCCAGTGGTGCTGCCCGCAGTCAGGTGGTGGCTGTGCGGGCGTCCTGGCAAGTGGCTGTGGTGTCAGAGCTGGGAGCCGGTGCCTGGTGCCCCAGGACTGGCTGGGGGAGCCCCGCATGGCCCAGCCTGGAGGGGCACAGTGTGGGGAGGTGGGCACATGGGCTGGGGGGTGCCCCACTTCCTATGGAGGGAGGGATGGGGCAGGGGCCACTGCAAGTGTCTGCGTGTGTGTGTGAGTGCATGTGAGGGCGTGAAAGTGTATATGTGATAGTGTGTGCACATGTGGAAGTCTGCATGGGGAAGGTGTGAGCGTGTGAATGTGAGTGTGCAGTTGTATATGAGCACACATGTGCAAGTGTGAGTGTGCTTGTGCACGCAAGCACAAACATACAAGTGTGTGAGCAAGCTGTGTGTGTGCATGTGCACGAGCATGAGTGTGAACACGAGTGTGCACAAGAATGTGGGTATGTGCACGTGAGTGTGCATATGCATACGTGTGAGTATGGGTGGGAATGTGTGCGTGCACAAGTGTGAGTGTGAGCGTGTACGTGTGAGTGTGTGTGCACCGGAAGGTGTGAGCAGAGATCAGAGCGGGGGAGGACACAGCAGCTCCTTGGTACCTTTGCCCACTGGGACGTCCCCAGTACCCCTGGCACCTGGCTGCCTTCCCATCTGATGGCGTCCAAAGCACCAAGGCCCCCGAGGACACGACCCCATCCACGTGGAGGCAGGAAGAGGAGTTGGGGGTGGAAATGGGACCCTAGAGCTCAGTGATGAGCAACCTGGGGCTGCTTGGCTGTGGATGCCCCTCTTCACAGGGCTCCCCGGCTTCTGCAACTGCACACAGTCCCCCGAGTCCTGCCCAGGAGTGGGGCGCTCCTTCCCCCGGGGCTCAGTGAGCCATTCCCGTTTCCTGGGCTGACCCTCCAGGGAAGGAGAGACCTGGCTCCCCATGTCCGTGCCTTGTGCTGCCAGAGGCCGTTTTGGTGTCCCACGTGGGGGGCACAGGGTCTCCAGAGGCCTTGGATCTGGGTCTGGATCGAGGTGCGGAGTGGGGCAGGGAGCCTGGGCCAGGGAGGGGCGCCCGCAGGTCGCCTGTACAGACGCTGCCCAGCTGGCACCTGTCAGTGGGGGAGACCGGGGCCAGGTGGGTGAAGGCCGGCATTGCAGAGGCACTCTGGCCCCAGGGCCTGGCCGGTCCTTGGGGGAGTTGTGTTGGCACAAGATCTGCTCTCACTGGGTGCTCGCGCATAGGCTGTGGGGACCCTCTCCGGCCCCGGAGAGTTCCAGTCTGTTGGCAGCAACCAGCCAGGCCCTGGGAAGGACGAGCAGGGTCAGGACGTGGACTTCTGGAGCCTGAGGGTCCACAGCAGATTTGGGTGTGCCCTTCGCAGCTGCCATGCATGGGTTGCTGGGAGCCGGTGTGGGGCGCCCCTCGCTCAGGCTGGCAGAGACGTGTGTCCACACGCACCTCTAAGGGTCACCTGCAGAGCGGGGCTTGTCGCTGGCACGGACCTGTCTCAGACTGGCGGCACCTCCAGATGGCTGTGCCTGGGGGCTTCCTGGGAGAGGGTAGTGGGACCGCGCTGTGTGCCCTGCAGGGGGCGGGGGGTGGGGGTCCCCGGGGCAGGACTGGAAGGGCAGGGGGCCGGCCCCGGGCTTCCTGAGACGGGACCACAGGATCGCTTCTGCGGTGCTGCCTTGCTTCTCCCAGCTGCTGTTGGATGACGCGTCTTCGTTTTCATTCTACTTCTGACGAAATTGAAAGTAATGATTCTTCCACTTAAGTGTATCTATTTCTCAAAGTCAAAATAAACACAGAGGTCCTGAGCCTTGGGTGTGGTTGCTGGGCCGCCCGTCCCCACCTGCCCTCCTCTGCCTTCGGCTTCCTGGCTTCTGGGTTTCGTCCGTGGCTAAGATTTAGAAACCTGCCCGTGTTCCTCCCTGTAGCTTCAGAAACTCGCCGGGATTAGGGCCGGGCCGTCCCGTGGCTGTGCCCTCATGTGTGCGCCTGTTCTGGGGGTCTCCGTTCTTGCCATGGCGCCCCTAGGTGCGAGGACTGACGTCTCCGGGTCGTGGTGCACCTGCCGAGCAGCGTCTTCCCCGAAGCCATGGCTCATGGTCTGCGGACCCTCCAGAGCCGAGCGTCTTTGCAGAGACTGGCCAGCCCTTGGCTGAGAGCCCTGGCGGCAGGGCTTCCCCAAGACGGGACCGGGACTGGACGGGGCTGAGCCCGAGGACTGTGCCTGCCCCACGGGTTCGGGCATGAGACCCAACCTCTCCGAGCCTCAGTTTCCCCGCCTGGAGGATGGGGCAGTAACCTGCCTGTCCTCTTCAGGGGTGGGGGTGAGACGAGATGGGGTCCTGCAGGGAGGGCTGGGCTGGTGCCGGAGGTGGCCGTACGCACCCTGGTCATGCTAGAACCAGCTGGAGGGTCTGCGAGGGCCGGGGCCTGGACCCCCCGCAGGGACCCCCTGGAGGCTACCGCTCCTGGAGACAGGCCCCTCCTCTCCACTGGGCCCCCTGCTGTGAGCTCCCCAAACCCGAACCCTGGAAAGCACCACCCCAGCCCCTGAGGCCTAGAAGGGAAGGCTTCTCTGTGCCCCCACCTCTGCTTTAGCAGAGGAAATTGGTCCCCATATCCCTCCTTTGGGTAAAAACCCCCAGACTAATAAAAGGGGTGGCAGTGTGGTTTAATAAAAACTCAGTGTGTCCCCGCTTAGGCAGTGGGGACGGGCGCTCAGGGCATAACCCCGGGAAGGGACAGCACAGCACTGGTCGTCCCGTGGACACTTGTCTGAAGGTGGCTGGGGGAGATGGCGTCTTCCTGGCAGTCCCTCCTGGCGTCTGCCCATGGGCCTCCCTGCTTTGTTCAGGCGTCCCCCTCCATGCAGGGTCTGCGGGGGCCCTGGAGTTTGTTGCCACGTTTCCCCATGGCCTCGCAACGCCCATGGTGGCACGCTGTCCGCACACAGTCATGGGACACACAGGCCTTGCGGCTGGTGCGTGGCGCAGCCTGGGGTCCTGGCACGGGCGGCTGTGTTCTGAAGGTGGCAGGGACCGGGCAGAGCGAGCTCCCTCTCAGCCACTCCCAGGTGGACAGCTGAGGAGGGGGGGCAGCACGTATGTCCCCCCGGGGCACGAGAGGGTCCCTGAGGCCTTGGGGCCCCGGGGAGTGGTCAGACCTGGGCTCAGAGGTTGGCACCCCAACACCACAAACAAGGGGAGATGCCAGGCCCCCTGCCCCGTGTGTAGTTTCAGGAGGGAGGACCCCACCCCGACAGCCAGACCCGCCTGTCTCGACGGGGTTTCAAAGTCCAGGCCCTGCCAGCCCGAAGTAGCAAAGGCCAGTTTCACCTCTGAGGGGCCCCATGGACACAGGGCCGGTGTCCCTGTCTTCAGAGGGCTCCACGTGGCCACATCCAGGCCTGGCCCAAGGGTACGGAGAGTTCCCACTGGGGTGAGGGAGGGTCTGGGGGGCTCTCAGGGCCGAAGCCTGTGTGGAATTCTCTTTCTAATAAAACCTCACGGTGGACCCTAACATGTGCAGCAAGAGGGGCCCTGTTGGAGGGGGCGGGGTCATGTGCTGCCGCAGAGCCGGGCTCGGCTTGAAGCCCTTCCACCTGACCTGGGGCTACCCCCCTCCTGCCCTGCACAGCCGGGGCCCCAGGCGTGGAGGGGAGCGTCCGGCCGGCCTCTGTCAGCGCTGCAGGAGGCCCCGCCAGCAGGTGAGGGCCGTTTGCCTCAGGCGCAGGGCGAGCACCAGGAGCCGGGCCCGGAGGTCCTCAAGGGCCAGCGCCACGGGCTTGGTTCGGCTGTAGTACAGACCCAGCACCAGCACCAGCAGGACGCACACGGACAGCCGCAGGAGCAGGGAGCCGCCTCGGGGCCTGCGCCGGCTGGGCGCTGGGGGCGGAGCGGGACCCGGATGAACCCCTGCCCGCAGGCCCAGCCCCACCATGAGGACCCTGTGGGGCTCCCTCCTCCCTGCGGGGCTGGTGGGGAGGCTGCAGACAGAGCAAGGCTCACCCCGAGGGTGGGCTCCTTTGGAGTGGGTCCTGGGGGTGCCCCCCATGGTCCCCAGGAGGCGTGGGGCACCCCCCTCCCTGCCTGGGGCCTCTGCCAGTGTTGGGTGGCTTCCTTATGAAAGAGCCTCCCATCGGCTGTGCCCCGGCACCCTCCCTTGGGGAAGGAGTAAGGGGGAGTGACCGCAGAGGGGTGCTGCTGTGGCTATGGTGTGTGTCAGGGACCCTGGCTGAGGGAGTGGCCTTGCCGGGGCAGGGCGGGGGGCCCTGCTGGAGCCACCGGGGGTGGGGGGTGTGCGGCAAGGGTGGCCTGGGCACGGCATGCGGGGGTGGGGGCGAGGGTTCAGACTCACCCCAGGTGGTGGTGGTGGTGGTGGTGGTGGGCTCCCTGCGGGCGATGTCTGGGGAGGAGAACCGACAGTGGGCTTGGGTGGGGAGGGCCCCCTGCCTGGGGGCGCACGCTGCCTGCCCTCAGGACCTCGCATCTCACGCCCGCCCCGCAGAGCACCCTGAGACAGGCCGAGTCAGTTACAGCTGCCCCGTTTCGCAGGTGGGAGATCCACGCCCCACCCCCCCGGCCAGCGGCCCCAGCGCCACATGCAGGTCCCCCCCTGTGTCATGGCTTCAGGCCCAGGCTGCCAGAACTTGGGGAGCCTGAGAGGCTGGGTGCTGCTCTAGAGCCTGTGGGTGCGGTGACCCTGTGGTGGCTTGGGGGAGGGGCCTGCCGGGGTCCCTGGGCAGGGCCCTAGGGGCTGGCACTGGGTGAGGGCTGGGCAAGGCCCTCGCTCCCGCCCATCCCCCACTGTGCACTGGGGGGCCCCCGGGCCACCCCCTGGACTGCCTGGGCCCTGATTCCCGGCCCGCTGAGTGTCTGTCTCCAGGGCTGCTGGGAAGCTCCTGGGGGAGTGCTGAGCTGTGCTTGTGGGGCGAGCGCTGGACCCGGAAGGGACAGGCGCAAAGAGCAGGTGTGAGGAGCCTAGCGAGTGGCACGGGCCGTCGGGAGAGGAGTTGAGGCCTGGACTGGATGTTTAGGGCGGGCCATCCAGGGAGGAGCTAACACGTGCCGGGTGGGAGTTTCACCCATCACTCGGCAGGTCTCAGGAAGTACCTTGCCTGGGGGCTGTGGCGGGCAGGATCTAAGATGCCCCCGTGATTCCTACCCCTCTAGTGTCATCCCCTCCCCTTACTGTGGGGCCTGTGACTTCTACCCAACAGAAGAAGGCAAAACGGGAGGGATTCTGCAGCTGAGAGGCAAACCCCAATCAGTTGACTCTGAGTCCATCAAAAGGGAGATTATCTTGGGTAGGTCTGGCCTCATCAGGCAAGCTGTTTAAAAAAGAGGGAGGGTCTGCTCCTGGTCTTGGAGGTGCTCTGCTGTGGGTTCTAACACCTGGATCGCTGCCCTGGGAGACCTGAGCGGAGGCCCAGCTAGGCCGTGCCTAGACCCCTGACCCACGGGGTCACTGCGATAATAAATGCGGGCTGCTCAAAGCTTCTAAGTCTGTGGTAATTTGTTACACAGTGTAGCTAGCTGATACAGGGGCTGGTCCCATGGGCAGGGAGTGGAGGGGCCAGGGGAGGAGAGGGCAGGCGGTGCGGAGGGCTCTGAGCCAGGAGGACCCCAGGACCTCGGCTGGGGCTGGGAGAATTCAGGCGGTGGGCAGTGAGGGATGCAGGTGTGGGGGGAGCTGAGGGACAGTGGGAAGCTTCCAGTGCTGGCGGGAAGGGTGGGCGGCTGCTGGGGACACTGCCCACTGGCCTTCCCTCGAGAGGACAGCTGTGACTGGGGCAGCTCTGATTTGCTTTTTTACTGCTAGTGGCTGTTTTGTTGACCGTTACTCTGTCTAGCCTGAGCCGTGGGCCGGGTTTTACTGGGGTTCTGTCTGTGCCGACAGGACAGGTGGCAGTGGTCCCTCCAGATGGCCCTCTGTGAGGTCCTGGGACATGTGGCCCCCGCCCCACCTGGCCCCCCGCCTGCTCACTGCACTCCGTTCTTACAGTGGACGGTCACCTCCAGGGGCTCCCGGAACCGCACACGCCTCGAGGTCCTCTGTGGCTCGGCCCCGTGGCTACGGCACCCCGGCCCGCTCCGCCTCAGGATGGAGGGGGGGCACCTCCTGTCGCCCTCCTGGGCAGGGGTGGGAGGCAGAGGGAAGTGAGCAGAAGTGAGCCCCCAGGGGGCAGGAGACAAGGTGCCCCACTGCCTCCTTTGGGTTTATGCAGAGGGACGCGCTGTGGGGGACCCGACGGGGGGTGTGGAGACCCCCGTGGACCTGCCCCACCTGCTGCCCCAGCCTGGCGGCCTGACTCCGGGGCTGCTCCCGGGTGGTGGGGGCTGGAACAGAGCCATCGGGGCCATCACAACGGATGGCGGTGTTCATGGCCGCACAGGACCATGCCCCCGCCAACCCCGACGGTATCTGTAACAATAATGATGATGATGACGGTATAACTGTGACTATCCACTGAGGGCCGTTTCCCTGTCCGCACTGCCCGCACAAAACCTCACTGGATCCCGGAGCACTGGGCCCGCAGGGCTCCTCTACACCCGGTGCCGGGGAGGAGGCTGGGCCCTGAGCCAGGGCTGTCCGGGGTCAGTGCCCAGCTTGTGTCACACAGCGGGCCTCTGTCACTCACCTGTGGACACGGTGAGGGATCTGAGCATGAGACCTGGGCTGCGATGGGACAGAGCCTGGACACAGGTGCCCGCCCAGGGGCTGCCCTCCCACCATGCTGTTTGGAATGTGGAGTTGCTAGACTGCTCTGATCCTCAGTGTTCCCACCTATAAATTGGGGACAACAGGCTGTTCTGAGCTGAGTACACCCATTTTGAATGGCTCCTGGCTGGGAGGCCCTGGCCGCACAGGGCTTACTGCTGGCCTTCTGGGGGACATGGGACCTGCTTAGTCCTGGGGTTGGGTCCACCTCAGGGCTGTCCCCTCCACTTGGTGGGACGCCTGGGCCTGTGGCCTGCCACCGGCCTGGCAGTGAGTACAGAGGCTAGGTAGGGACTCAGGTCTGAAGTTGGTCCCCACTTTGCCCTGGCCTGGCCCTCCTCTGTCCACCCTCCCCCACTTGCATGCCCTCTTCCCTGGGCTGCAAAGTGACCTTGCTGGGGAAGCATCTGGAGCCCCCCATGGCTCCTGCTTTCTCTGCCTCACCTGTGCTCGCTCCTGGCCCACTCTCTCTGCCCTTGCATACTGTACCCCTGCCCTCGGCCCTGGCCTTGCACCTTTGGGCGTGCTGTGTCCCCCCCAGGGGCCTCCAACCCTCTCTGCCAGACCAAATCTATAAAGAGCCACCAACCCCCAACTCCCGACCCCGGTGATTTTCTCTCCTGGGGTTCCTGGGGCCGGGGCAGCTCGGGCAAGGACAGGGACCGTGCCTCCTGTCTCAGCTCCCCCTTCTCTGCCCCCAGCAGGAGCCCAGGTGGCTGACCCTGGTGCACTTGGCCTTGGGATCCTGGGGTTGGGTCTTGTCCAGGACCCAGCCTTACCCTCCCCGGCCTGGGCATCGGCGAGCCGGGAGCGGCCTCTTCATTCTTCCTGGTGTGATGTCGCGTCTCTGGCTGGGAGTCGGGGCTCAAGCCTCGCCCTGTAGGCCTCATTTATTGGAACATGGTCCTAAAAGAAGCAGGGACGTTATTTATTGTACGAGCAGCACTGGTAGATGGAGGGGACGTCTGTCTGCCCTGCCCGTGAGCAGACACGGCTTTCCTTCCGGTGCTCCCTGCACCCTCCCCGGCGGCCAGTGTCCCCCCTCATCGGCCCTCACAGTTGCGCCGTATTCCACGGGGCTGCCGTCGGTAACTTACAACCAGCCTCCGGTACTAGGTGCTCAGGAAGCGTGCATTTTATTACGTCATGTGCACGTTTTGAGGCCATGTTGGGGGGCCTCCGGGGTGTGAGGGAAGGGGTCCAGGGCTGGGCACTGCTGGAGCTCCATGGGACTGGGAAGGCTGCTCCAGAGGGTCTCCGGCTCCGCAAGGGGCTGGAGCTGGTGGGGCCTGCCCAGACTCTCTTGTCTCCGTCTCTCTGCCCTGCCCTGTCCCAGGTTTAACCTGCTTACTTTCTAGGTGTAAGGTGGCGCCTCCCCACGTCCACCTGTGAGCCTGTGATCCGTCCTCCCTGATGCAGCCCCTCTCGGTGGATTCTCGTTCGCCTTTGAAGGGTTCCTGACTTCTGAGACCTCCCCGGTCCTGCTGTGGGCGCAGACCGCGCCAGGCACCCATGCAGGTGAAGCCAGGCATTGAGCATTAGTCCTTCGAGGGCCCTGGGCGTGGGGTGATGGACCCACCCTTTTCAGTGAGCATGTGGAGAAATTGAGCCCAGGGCTTCCCTGGCCACTCGGACACCAGGGCAGTCTCTGCCCCTCCCCCTGGATAATGAGAGGCGTTGGGGGTGGCCTGTGGGTCACCTGCCCCTCCTTATCCCCAGCCCCAGGCTCCTCCAGGGCTCCCTGGTCTGGGGTCCTTTGTGGACATCCCTGCCCCCTCTGTACATGGCGAATGTTTGGGTTTTGTGAGGAGCCTCCCTGGCTTCTAGCCTCCAAGGATGCCCCCTGCGCACAGCGCTAAGAGCGGGGCTGACGGTGAGGGTCCGCACTGTCCCCTGCAGGGTGCTGTCAGGGTCCCCTGAGAGCTGGACGGCCTCGAGGGCTGAGCAGGGCCCCCGTACAGTCTTCCCTGGGGAGATGACAGGGTGGCTGCGCCCTTGGCCCCACCAGGCGTCAACAGCACAGCTGTGCAGAGCCTGGTAATGACATCCGTGCTCCGCAGCCGGGCAGCTTTAATTATTTCTAAAGGGAGCAGTTTTCTCCTCCTCAGCGTCAGCTTTTTACTGCAAATAGAGTCAGGGAAGGAGCCTCGAGCCCAGCGAGGGGGCACGGCAGGGAGGGCGGCTTGCTGGCCTCTCAGGTGAGGAAACAGGCCTGGTGAGGCTTGCAGAGCAGTACCCAGCCGGGGGCCCTGCAGTGCCTTGCCCTCCCGCTTGGGACTGGGGACAGCATCGGGTGTGCATGTGTGTGAGCACGAGTGTGTGCATGTGAGCGTGTGTGCACAGTGTGAGCACAAGTGCATGTGTGCGGGTGAGCATGAGTGTGCACGTGTGTGTGGGTGTGTGCCTGTGAGCACGCGTCCATATGCATATATGAGCGAGCATGTGTGTGTGTGCTTGTGTGTGTGTGTGAGGGCGACTGCACATACACCTTAGTGTGTGTCCATGCGTGTGCACACACATGCGAGTGTGCATGGCTATTTGTACATATGGGCATGAGTGCTCATGCACGTGGAGCACATGGGGGTGTGTAGTGTGGGGGGTGTGATCGCACAAGCATGTGGGCGCATGCCGTGTGTGAGTGTGTCTGAGTGTGAACGTGCCTCTGTGTACATGTGTGTGTGGCGTGTGCAGTGTGTCCGTGAGTGTCTCTGTGGCTCTGGTGCAGGCAGCCCGGTGGGTCCCACCAGCTTCATCAGGGACGCTGTGTGACCATGCGTGACCTTGGACAGGCCTCCTAAGCTCTCTGTGCCTCAGTCTACTCAGCTGAAAATAGGGATCACAATAGCAACTTCCTCTGTGGGCTTGGTGAGGGCAAGCACGGCTGTGTGCCAGGGGCTCAGAGGGAGCCGGGGACAGTCGCTCAGGGAGAGTGGCTTTGTTCGGGCAGAGAGCCTGGGGCCCCTCTGCCTGTGTGAGGATGTTGCCCCCCCGCCCCAGGCGGCTCTCGGGAGCCCCAGGCCTTCTGGGCCATGTGCCTTTGCCTGGGCCCTCGTCTGCTGCCGGCTAGTCTCCCCCCACCTCACCTCTACCTACCGTCCCTGCCCCACCTGCCTTGCTGCATCTCTGCATCTTGCTCAGGCTCCAGCTTCCCCTTAAATGTCATTTCCTCTGAGAGGAAGTGGGGGCCTTTGCCAACACCCAGGACTGGCTTGAGTCCTGGGCTCTGTCTTCCTATGGCTCAGCGTCTTTCTCAACAGCATGGCTGTCCTGGGCCTCAGTCTCCCCACCCGTCGCACAGAGGGAGGCGAGGATTGCTCTTGGCACCGCCCCCCGGCTCCTCCACAGCCCCCCTCCAGCCGCCGGGCAGTGCCCCCCCTCCACCCCTGGCTGGCCGGCCGAGGGCAGGGCCCTGCATGGGAGTGGGGAGGCCTCGCGGCCTCCAGCAGCAACAGTAACAGGAGTGCCCTCCACTCTGAGGCTGCCTGTGACAGATGGGTGATAAAGGGCTGAAAATAGCTCAGGCCTGGGGCCTGTGGAGTGTCACCACCGCCTCCCCACCCGTGGAGGACACGCCCCAAGGGCAGGGCTTCTCGGTCAACAGCCTCTCACCTCTGTTGAGGGGACACCCTCTTCCCCTGGGGGTAGGGACACTGGTTGCTGCAGCCTGAGCCTGCCCAGCATTGTCTCTGGGTGGGGGCCTGCCTGGCGGGGCCTGCCGGTCAGAGGTGGGCCAAGGGCGCCCGAGGCGCAGGGCCTGCCCCGGGCCTTCCCCAGAGCTCCTGCTCCAGGCGTGGTGGGTCTGGAGTGCCGAGCAGGGAGCCTCAGGCTCTCCTGCCCTCCTTCCTAGGAGCGCGGGCCGACCAAGGCCGTGCGTCCACAAGAGCCCTGACCGTCTATGGGGTTTGGCCCACCGAGGCTGAGCCTCTGCAGCCCAGCTCGGTAGCCCAGCACCCCCCCATGGGCCCCCCAGCCCCAGCTCTGCACACCGCTCCCACCAGCCTCCAGGCATGTGCGAGGCAGGCCGGGCCAGCTCCTGCCCAGCTCACCGCTTCTGACAGCGGGGCCAACTGTCCTGCCATCGCTCTCACCTCCTCCCGGGCCAGGCTGACCACGCCTCTGTGTCCCGCTCGCCCCTGTGCCCACCCCCGTGCCACCGGCCACCCACTGCCTGCTGGTATGTCTCCATCCTCGCCAGGGGTCCCTCTGAGACCCCCAGATAGTGCAGCCCTGCATGGGGAGGGGGCCTTCCTCAGCTGTGACTGTGGGGCCGACAGCCGGATCGGCACCCACACCTGCTCCCTGTCACCCCTCACATCCTGCACTGTGCCTGTTCACCCACAGGACCCCAGGGCTCGGGGGATGGAGGAGCTTGCCGGCAGTCCTGTAGCCCCGGGGAAGCTGAGCGTCTCCTCCTGACCCGGCATGTCTGGAGCCTGATCGAGCAGAGCCACCGCCCGGGCTCGTCCTGCGTACCTGTCCTGGTGACACCTCCTCCAGGGGCTGCCGGGCTGGTGCAGGTGGGAGAACCATGTCAGGACCTCACCCTGCAGAGGCTGGAGCTACGAGCCCCACCGTTCACACCCCACATACGGGCACAGCCTCCCCCTCCAGCCCCCCCCGACCCCGTGCGTGCACGTGCACACACACACACGCACACGGGCACCGCCCCAGCCCACCTGGGCTCCTGCAGGTGCCGCACCCCTGGGTGAACTCGCCCACCTGTCTGGCCCCCAGTGCGCTGGCGATCGGAGCCTTGAGCAGAGTGGGAACCGGAGCTGCCGCGGCTCACAGGCCAGCTGAGAAGTTTCCATTACAACGGTGGGGCAGTGGCCTCTGGACAGTCTGGCCGTGGAGGAAGCTGTCACCACAGGGCTTGGTGGCCTTGGGTGGTGTTTGCCCTCCCCCTCCCCTGAGCAGCTTGTCTGAATTAAGTTGGGGGGGGATGCTGAGGCCACAGGACACATGCTACACCTTCTTCCAGCTGGAGAAGGGGACAGGAGGCCATGGACACGCCCACGCCGGCCTCCCCTCAGGAGGCTGGGGGGTGGAGTGAGGGCCAGTGGGCAGGGGTCCCCAGGAAGGGCCGGCTGCCCCCAGCCCAGCACTCACAGCCCGGAGCAGGCTGGCAGCTCCCCAGATAACACAAATTTCTGACTTAAGCAAGAGAACCCCTGGGGGCCATCCCCTGGCTGGTCGCTGGCTCACTGGGCTTGCCCAGGCACCTGCCTGGAGCTGGGGGCACAGGGACCAGGAACTGTCTTGGCCGTCTCCAAAGACACCCCCCACATCTCTGCACATGGGACAACAGCAGGTCAGGGTGATGGCTGGGTGTCTGCTGGTGCAGCGGGTACCCTAGAATGGGGGATCTTGGCCTTGAGAGCCCCAGGCAGAAGGGAGCGGGTGGACCCTAGCCTAGACCCTGGCCACAGGGAGACCCAGGTGGGCCACTCACCCCGAATTCCAGGCCCCCATGTAGAGTGGAGGTCTATGCCAACCATCTAGCACGCCATAAAGATGGAGATAATGCGCTAACCTTCCTGGAGGGGCCTGCACGCAGTAGGTGCCCAATACATGGTATGCTCTGAGTTGGAGGGGTGACCCACGTGCACCGTGGGCCAGAGCAGAGATTCCTTCTGATCAAGTGAGCTCAGAAAAGGGCCGGTTCCCTGGGGATAACCAAATGCTGTGGCCTGGGCTAAGTGACTGGATTAAGACTCCATTTCCGGCTCAACCTGGCTGCACCTGCGTAAACCTGCCCTCAGCAGGACCCCCGGGGCCTCTGAGGAGGGCTCGCTGGTGTCCTGGCCTCAGCCCCCACGAAATGACAAGAACCCTGGCTGCCGGCTGCTTTCGAAAGGGACAGAGCTTGGCTCGTTGTCAGGGGAGATTTGTAGAGACTTGCACCCCAGCTTTGTGGGGGAACTGGCCAAGTTCCCGACCTCACCCATGGGTGTCCAGAAGCCCTCGGGTCAGGCCAGGCCGCTGAGGAAGGTCTGGGAGCGCCAGGGACTGGCAGTGTCTCTGTGAGCACCCACCATCCCCAACTTTCAGACAAGACGTGAGGTTCAGAGGGGTCTGGGTCTTTTGGGGTCACTGACCACCCTGGTTTGCTTGGGAATGTGCCCATTTTAGCACTGAAAGCCCATGTCCCAGGTGAATGGGATGGACAGCTCCCGTCCTTGCCCAGGGCCATGCAGTGTGCTCTGCCTGGCCTGTGTCCACCCATCCACCTGCCCATCTGCCTACCTGTCTGCCCATCCACCTGAGGCTGGGACCCACCCATCCGCCTGCCCGTGCCAGGTTCTCTGCCCACATCTCTGGCTGTGAATCTCCGCTCTGGCAGCTTCGTTCCCAAATGGGAAGTGAGTGTCTCCCTGCCGCCCTGAGCTGGGACCTCACCCGGCTCCCTCCTGGGTCCGTGAAGCCAGGCTCTGTGGTGTCGTCCAGTGGGAGTGGTCCAGTGTGCTGCTGGCCCGATCTTGGGCCCCTCGGAGAGGCAGTCCTGGGCCTGCCCAGCCTCTTGCAGCTGCTCCGGTCTGGAGCTGCCACTGGTCGGCCTGTGGGGCCAGTCTGTGGCCGGCCGGCGTCCCCGCCCCAGGCCCCTCGGCGGCAGAGCTTGGCCAGCTGGCAAGAGCTGAGCTATAATTATCTCCCCCCTTTGGCAGAAATAGCAGTGACCCTGCGGATAGGCTGCTGGCCCTGGTGCAGGAGAGGAACTACTGGTTTCCCAGGCCCCGAACACAGACAAGATAAGGGGTCAGTACCCCCTTCCTGCCCTCCCGGCTTCCGGTTCCAGAGCTGTGCAGCCCTTGGAAAGCCCGTGGTTTGGAATCAGAGGCAGAGCTGGGGTGGGGAAGGCGGGGGTGGGGAAGGCGGGGGTGGGGTGATGTAGGGGCTATGGGAGGGGAGGGGAGCATAGCGTCCAGCCCCTGCTTGACCCTGCCCTTGACCCAGCCCCCCCCTGCTTCTCACCCCTGCACCCTCTACGTCCTGCTCTGGGGTCCCAGGAGGAAAAGGCCAAGCATCGATCCCATGCTGCCGATCTGGGGTGCACTGGCTGAGCCCCATATCGCCCCAGCAGGCAGAGCCGGTGTTCAGGTCAGAGGGGGGCAGCAGGGACAAAGGGACCAGCATTTCCCAGGGTCCCCTCTGGGCCGGGGGCTCCTTACTGTGTGTGGGTGTCAGCTGGCAGGTGCTGAGCTGCCCCACATTTGCAGATGAGCATGTGCCCTCAGAGCATGGACACAACCGGCCCGAAGCCACACAGCTGGGAGGTGGCAGCCTGGCCGGGCTCAGTGGCCCCCGCCCGCTCCCAATGCACTGGCGCACGTGGCAGCCCCAATGGGGTGAGGCCCGAGGAAGGACAAGGGGCCCAAGTGTGGGCGGATCCCTGATGGGTTTGGATGGTTTCAGCCCGTCCTGGGGGCGGCCTGAGGGGGTGTAGAGAGAGCCCCCAACTCTGTTGGGCACTCAGGCAAAGCTGCAGGGCCCCTGGGGTGTCCAGGGAGGGCCAGGGTTGGGAGGGGCAGTGGGAGCAGAGGGATCCCCTGCAGGCCACGCAAGCCACAGTGCCTGGAACGCAGCACTGGTGCGCGGTGTGGGCAGAGGTCGCGAGGTGCCGTGTGGGGGGTGTGTATCTCCATGCTGGGGCTGCAGACTCTCCGTGTAAAGGGTCAGATGGCAGATGTGAGGCTCTCTGGGCTTGACTCTGCCTCACGGGGCGGAAGCAGCCGTGGACCGGGTGGAGGATGGACGGGCAGGCGTGCTCCCTTAAAGCCCTTCCCACCACCTTCGTATGTAAAGGGACACAGTGTGGTGTCCCTTGTTCTAGGGTTAGCACCAAGGAGGGCTGGGGGCACTGGGGGTCCTGCCTGCAGCTTGGTTTCCTGAGGCCCTGGAGCCAGACAACCCTCCTGACCCACCCGCCATGCCTGGCTGGGTGACGGCCTACGCCCGGGGGCCCCCACCACGGGAGACTTGGCCGCACCCCCAGGCCAGGGCTCTGGGACAGCTGCTTTCGTGCCCCTTGCTGGCCGGGCAGGGGGAGCCCACATCTCCTGCTCTTGCAGGAGCTCGCTCCAGGTGATTTATTGGTGTGCCCCAAGGCCTGGCGGCACGAGATCTGCCCCCAGCTCCACTCCCAGCCTGGTACTATTTCCCGGCCTCATCTGATCAGACGCGCTGCACCTTCCGCACGCGCCTCCATCGTTTGAGTTTCATACCTGCCTGGCGTCTGCAGGGCGAGATAAGGCAGGCCAAGAGGAGCCCTCAGAGGGTCCTTGGTCCCTGTGCCCCTGGGGAGGCGCTGTGGAGGGCCAGGAGCGCGGGTTTGGTCTCAGCTCTATTGTGCCAGTGAGGGGATCCCAGGCAACACACCTCGACTCTCCCGTCAGCTGGAAGCAATGCCCTGCACACCACCAGTTCTTCCGACTGTGGGTCTTACGGCACCCTTGGTCTGTGCCAGGCCCTGGGCACACAGCTGTGCCCTAGCTTGGCTGTGGCTTCTTGGGAAGGCAGGAGATGTTCCAGTACTTACGTGGTCCCAAGAGCTGTGAAGCCCAGAAGAGGAAAGGGTTTTCCAGAGAAGCAGACAGATACACACATGTGTGTGCATATACAAGTCTCTCTAAGGGACCGGTCACCGGGTGCAGGCCGCGAGGTCCACAACCGTCTGCAGACGGTGAGCTGCAGACCCAGGACAGCCAGCCATGGGCTCCACTCTGAGCACCCCGGCCGAGCAGACCCGTGTCCCAGCTGCACCAGCGGATTCTCTCTCCACCTTGATGTTCTGTTCGCACCCCCACCTGATCGGACGAGGCCCACCCACACCGGGCCAGCATCTGCTTTACTCGGTTCACAGAGTCAGATGCCCATCTCATCTGGAAACACCAGAGTCATGTTCCACCAAATCCCTGGGCGCCCGCGGCCCAGACACACGGACGGGTAAATCGAGCTGTTGCAGGGCTGATTTCCATCCAGTGGTCAGGGAGGGCCACAGGGGCTCCATGGTGGGGCCACCCCAGTGACTCAGCGTGGCCTGGGAGCGTCACGGTGGCCTCCATGTTGTCAAGCGCATGGACACGGCCCCCCACCTGTGGCCCAGCACTGGCCCTGACCACCAGACCACCCTGGGACCGAGGTCCTGCTGGGTGAAGGAGCCCTATGGTGGTGGTGGTGGGGGGGGGAGGCCTGGATGTGGCCCCTCCCTCACCATAGCCTGGATCCAGGGCCGGGTCCCGCGTGGACAGGCTGCCTGGCCAGCTCGAGGGGCCTGCTCACCCCTGTGCGGCCCCCGTGCATCCTTGGTCACAGGGCTGTGTCACACCCTGTGGGGAGTAAGTAAATTTCTGTTGTTTCTTATTGCTCAAATTACCTTGTTTGTGGCACTTTGTTATGGCAGGTGCATGGCCTCAGTAGTGACACCGAGAGCCGTGGGGCTGGAGGAGCAACCTGGGGTGCCCTGGACCCTCCAGTGTCAGCACGGGGCTTGTGGGTTCTTGGGCCCTGGACCCTCCAGTGTGAGCACGGGACCTGTGGGTCCTGGGGCCTGGCTGGGGTGTGGGGAGAAACAAGAGGGCTCTCAGCACCATTGTAGGGCCAGGAGGGATGAGGAGTGGCCAGAGCCCTTTGGTGGATGGAGAGTGAAGACTGGGTGGCAGCAGGGGGGGGGGAGCTCAGGAGGGAAGAAGGAAGGGGAGGGGGGGTGGGAGGGTACGGGCTTTACATGGAGGGGCTGATGCACGCTCTGGTTAAGACCCTGAACTGGAGCCAAGTCTACAGTCCACAGGCCGTCTTTCATGGGACACGGTGGGGTGGGGATGGCGGGATTTTCTACCAAGCAGAGCTGTCCAGGGGAGGAACAGCTGAACGGGAGGGAGTGCGTCCTCCACTACTGGAGGCAAGCAAAGGAGGATTCCTGCCTTTGGGGTCTCGCAAAGTCTCTGCATGACTCCAGGATAACCCTTGGGGTGGGAGAAGGAGGGAGGGACGCCGGCAACGTGGAGTGTGTGGCGTCCGGCCAGTGTGTCCACCAGGGCGCTCTTGACCTGCTGCTGCCGGGACAGGCGCCTGTCTGTTGATGCAGGTGGAGCGTCCTGCCTGAGGTCACAGGCCAGCTGGGCACGGTTAGTGCCCATCACTCTGGAGCCCACAGCTTGTCATTCTCAGAAGCACCCCCACCCTCAGGCAGGTCACATGCCTGGCCACCCTGGCATCCAGCCAGAGCCCTCATTCAGAAGCCGGGCTGCCTGGGTGGCGTCCACTACCCTGAGCCTGGCGGGGCCCCAGGTCACCGCATACCACTGGTCCACGCCAGTCAGAACTGCAGGACGTGGGGCCCCGTCATCTGTCTCCAGTAGCTGTGGTAATGGGAACCACTGGGCCCCATTGTGCACTAACAAAAGCAGCCCCTTTTCCCATCTCCTAAATTATTCATGACCTCCAAGAGGCTGTAAAAGTCCTCAGCTCTCTACAGGAGCCATAATTACAATGATAAATTTTATTTATAAAGCCGGTCCCTCCCGCGAGCCAGCTGCCTGGGGGGCCGTACATAAGCCATAACCAAGCTAGGGACCGCGGAAAGCTGTCTGTCGCAGCTGGCTTTCCGGCAGGGTCTCGGGCTGGCTGGAGGGGGGGTGTGTGGAGTGGGGGGGCTCCACGGCTTGCCCAACCCGCCCAGGAGGTCTGTTTGTGCTTCAACGGGGTGAGCGCGTGCGTGGCCCCCGGGTGAGGGCTTCTGGGTCAGAGCCATCCGATGGGGGCCTGGCTCCCGCCATGTCGCTGCCACTGGTTTCTCGTCCTTGAGCTCGGGGCCCTGAGGACCCACGACAGGGGCGAGGCTCGCTGGCCTCAGGGCTGAGTGTTCGTACGCATGACACACGTCCCCGTGTTTTCACTCATGATTGCGCACCACCGTCACTCGTGTGTGGGCATGTGCTTGGCCCACAGATGTGATGTGTGTTCGCAGAGTGTGCTTGTCGACCCCTCGCATAGCTGAGCCCCGTGGGTAGGCGCCCATGTCAGCCCCCTGGGCTGACAGGTTCTTGGGCTTTGCGGGGGGGGTGCCCCACACCAGGCCCTGCAGTGGCAGCGCAAGGAGCGAAGTTCACGCCAGGGCCGTTGGCGGCCTCCCTTGTACCCTGCACCACACGGCTGCCTGGACATTGGGCGCGAAGGCATTAGAAAGAGCTGACGCTGGAGTCAGAGGGCTGGGGTGCCCCCGCCCCCCTCTCCTGCCTGCATGACCTGGAGCCAGTCACTGCCCGTCCTAGAGCCGCTGACCCCTCCCCTGTGGGGGCTGCCGCGGCACCAGGTGGGGCTGGTGGTTGGGCGCGTGGTGCTGAGCAGCCCGGGACCCGATGCCCACCACCTGCGTGGCCCAGGTGTGCGTGGCACCGAGTGCCACCCCTCCCGGGAGTCTCAGTCCTCCTGACCTGC